GTCCAGGTGTGAAAGAAACAGTCTACCTCAAGGCCTGAAGCTCTGTGGCCATGCTGTCACTGGACCTTCTTCCTGGACCCTTTCCTCCTCCGCCACTGCCACTACTGCCCACAGCGCCCCCAGGGAGCGGGCAGAGTGACTGAGGGCGCCAGAAATAAAGATGGAATTGGTCAGAGAGAAAATGTGAAAGAAGCCAAATATAAGAGGAAATGGGTTCCTCAAAGTATAAATTATCCCAAACTAGCCGCCTCCCAGGCCCACTGCCTGTGCTTGTCTCCTGCCACATGTCCACTCCTGTGGGACCCTCTCAGCCAGCCCACCCTCCACAGGGATCCCCAGGGACCTTCAGAGGCTGGGGACACCACCTTGTCCCTGCCCCCTGTCCTGCAGATGCAGGATGTGGGCCGGGCCTGTCCCCAGAATGTACTATGTGTGGGACAGTGTGTGTGTGTGTCTCCAGTGGAGGTGGCCAGGCCTCTGTTGTGGGCCACAGTCAGCCTCACCCACCCGCCGGATGGTGAAGCCACCCACTGCTGTCGGCAGATGTGGCCAGGAGCTACTTTTATACGAGGTGTGTTTAAGGGTCATGTTCCTGTGACTCTTTGTTCTCTTTTCTGTTGTGTTGTTTTTTGAACTACTTAGGTAAAGAAGAAGGAAGAAAAAAAGGAAACAAATACCTATTTTTGGTTATACTCAGAACATTTTTTTAAATAGCAGAAAAACTTTTTTTAAAAAGAAAACAAAAAAGATAAGTGTATTTCTTAAGAATGAGATTAGAACATTAAGTTCTGATCCCCTACCCCACACCCGCTAGGGACACCCCACCTTGAACTTTAGTTAATTAGTTGAAGAAGGTAGAAGTTGTGGTGTTTTCCTAGAACACTAGAGTTGTGTCCATGTGGACTCCAGAAGGGTAGTCCCTCCCTTCTCCCAAGTGACAATGTTCCCTCAGTCCTGGCTCCTGAGGTGGGGCTGGGGCCCACCTCGCCTGGCTTGGGGTTTGTCACACTCTTCATTTTGACTGAATAAAAGTCCTGTTGCCAAAGTGAACCATGAGTGTTCTGGTGGTTTTGTCAGGTTCTGGGGCTGGGCTGCTGGGTAGGTGGGACCTTCACAGGCAGGAGCCTCAGAGGGTGCCGTGAGCTGGCACCGCTAGGGCTCCTCACATGGGCAGGTCATGAGTCCCTGAACACCTTGCCAGGTAGCTGTGCTAGTGACCATCATCAGCCATCGAAATGTGACAGGAAGGAGGAGAGAGAAGGAAAGCCCCAGGTCTGCCCTAGCCAGTCAGGGACCA